ATAATTCTTCTTTTTGTGTAGGAGATTCTAACAAATTTGGGACATTGAGTAAGATTGGTTCTTATGATTTGGATGATAAGAAAATTGATGAAGAACCAAGTGAAAGGAATACATTGAAAATCTTTGAGGCTATGTTAAAGGCTAGTTAGAAGTAATCTGAGGAGCTAGAGTAGATGAAAAAGGAGAATGATATCTTGAAGAAGGAGAATAAGCAAAAATAGAAATTGCTTAAGGAGAACAAAGTTGAAATTCAGAATCTTCAAGGTAAAGTAAAAATTCTTGAGAGCAAGGTAAGTCAAGCTAATTCTGCTAGAGAATATTTTGTTTCCAAATTTAATTTTCTTAAGCTTGAATTGAAAAAGTCACAAGAAAAATTGATCTCTTTTACTTCTGGACAGATTAAGCATGATAAGATGATTAGTATTGGTAAGCATGTAAGTGATAAAACTGAATTAGGTTTTAATGAGGCTTTATCTAGTAAAGAGGGTTAAACTATTTTTGTTAAACCCAAGAACTTGAATGTGCCTATTGTCAAGCCTAAACTTTTTGTTGAGCCTATGCAAGTTAAGAATGTGTCCAAGGTACTTTATTGTTCTTATTGTAGTAGAATTGGACATACTCAACACTATTGTTATAAAAAGAAAAGGGATAATTCTTGTTTTGATTTTCATGGTTATAATTCCTTTGCACAGAATAGGTTTCATGCTAGAAAGCAAAATAATTGGAATAAACCTAAAAAATTTCGTGCTAAAAAGAATTCACATAAGAAAAAGAATGTTCTTGATATTCCTAAAAAATCTCGTCAAAAGTAAAAGGTGAAAGTTGTTTGGGTGAAGAAAGAGGATTTAAGGTTATATGTGCCTATAGATGCTATGGAATTTATTTCCAATAGGTCATTGGGTGCAAAACCCCTAGAGTAAATCCTAAAGAGGTTTTATGGTCATGGATTATGCTTTGATGAATATCTTATTTCCATTGGACCATATCTTGTAGCTTATGATTTAAGTTGTTTTTCTTTCATGAGAAAGTGATGATCATATTTTTCTTGTTAATGCATGAATGATAATTATTTCTCTTGAATTAATTATTTTTGAATGCAAATTGGTGACATATGATTATTTGATGAAAATGTTCTTGATATGTAATTTATATGTTGAAAGACAATTTGCCTTATTTATTTCTTTTTAGAGATGAGTCTCTTGAGTTTATATTTTTCATGTGCATTATTCCAACTCTAAGAAAATTTAATTGAAAATCATTGTGAAGTTTACTAGGTCATATTGCTCATAAAAGGTATAAAGGTTAAAAAAAAAAAAAAAAAAAAAAAAAAAAAAAAAAAAAAAAAAAGACCATGTGTTTGAAAAAAAAAAAAAGTTAATGAAATTTCAGCATGAAAAGAAAAAAAAAAAAAAAAATTAAAAGAATGATGAAAATCTTTGCTAAGGAAAAGGCTACCTATTGAAACTAGTTTAAAAGCTCCTACTAGACTTTAAAGAGGAGCTATTTAAGTAAAAGGAAAGGAGGAGACAAGTCAAAATAGGGAATTGATGTCTACTCTTTAGAGTGAAAGCTGCATTGTTTAGTAAAAATTGCTCAAAATAATTTTATCTTGATGTTTTTCAATCAATATGATTTGATTGAAATTTATAAGATTGGATTGCACACACACACGCATGTGAAGTTGTTAGGCAAATTTCTAAATTTTTATAAAAATTGCAAGTTGAATTTCATGTTGTGATTGTATGCTTGAGAATTGATTTGATTGAATAATCTGTGGTGTCTAAAAATTGTGTATTTAAATTCTCTTAAATTCTTCAGAAATTTTTGGATCTCGTGTATGCTTGAAATTCATAGAAATTGTTGTCTCATTATTTTTGTTCAAATATCAGAAAAATGAAAAAAAAAAAAAAAAAAAGGAATCCAAAAAGATTTTCCTTTTAGTTTTTTTTTTTGCAATTCTTGTTTTTGATGGAGATATCTTGTGATTTTTGAGCATGATTGGTCTTATTTATCTTATGGATGGAACATGTGTTATCTTGGATACTTGTCTTTGGTTCCATTGCTACTATATATTATCATATTTTTGTGCTTATTGCAATATCTTATGCATGGATGGTAGTTTTGATCTCTCTTCTTATTAATTCTCCCACATTAATTTTTTTCTTTCTTTGTTGAGCTTTATTTGTCAATTTCTAACAAAAAAGGGGAGAAGTGTGCATATTTGAGGAGGAAAGTTTCTAGAATTGAGTGGAATATATATATATATATATATATATATATATATATATATATATGTTGATTGTTTATCTTTCTTGATTAAGCTTCACTGGTAGTTTGGTTGAGCTGATGTGCAGATTACAGGAGAAGAAAACTACAAATGTTGAAGCTTCATGTGGTTCAAGAAGAGTTCCGTTTTATTTCTTTGACAATTATTGTAATTTGTTTTTTTTACTTGGGTAGATTACATGTTGTTCTTAGGGTTTTGTCACGAAATTGCCAAAGGGGGAGATTGTGAAATATATATATTTCGGGGAGATTGTGAAATATATATATTTTGTATATTGACTAATTTCGTTGTCAAAACAAGTCCTAGTCGAGTTATAATTTCATGTTGCTATATCGAAATCAACAGCGACTGCGGAATTGAAAGGTGTTCAAAGTTACTATAACTGAGATCATTCGAGAAAGGTAGAAATAACACTTTAGGAAGGAATCTAATTAAAAAGGTTATGACACATTCTACACTTGGTATATTTTCCAAACTTACCAAAATAGTGTTTTCAGCCTTTCAGAAACTTAAAATTCAAGTTTGCTAGACTTAAACTGGCTCAGTATTCTTGAACCAGTTCAAGGCCTCAAGATTGGCTTTGAAAAATCTTCTGCCAATCTTGAACCAGTTCAGTACCATTGAATCGGTTCAACACCCTTCAAGAAGTCCTGACAGCATTCTAATTTTAGTTTCCTATTTCAGATTTCTTTCCTATTTGGTTTAGAATTATACTAAGTCCTATGCACGAAATTTTCTATATTTTCAGAGGGATTGGGACATTTTAAACTCTATATAAACTTTGTTAGTCATCTAGGTTTATACAACGGCTTTTGCATACAAAATTCAGATCTCTTAGAGAATCGTCTTTCAGAGAAATTTTTATTCAGAAAATTAATCTTATTTTTCTGATTTTATTTTTGAGAGAACACACATAAACACAAGAGTGATTTAGTTGTGTTGTTCTCTATCTCATCGGAATTGGAGCATAATTGAAGATTCAGAAATTCCAAAAAGCAGAATTCATTCGTTCTTCGTCAAATTCAGATTTTGAAGTAAAGGGGTGAAGTAATCACACTTTGAAGGGGTCAAAGCATTCGTAGAGTGTTGTTTTATTTACCTGCAACTCTTCTACATAGATTAAGAGTAAGCCTGAGGTTAAGAGCTGTTGGACGAGGGAGTCGCAAAGTCAGGGATTGTCAGTGATTAGTTTTGGTAGAACGATAGGGAGTGAGCCTGAGTCAAAATTCGGTGTACTTTACTTCAAACATAGTGGATCCTTTTTCCCTAGACTGCACAACCCAACAAGGTTTTTCCCATAACAATTAGTCTATTATATCAATTGGTGTTTCCTTGCTAAAAATTCTAGTGTCATCTCTCAAACCTTATTTACTTTACTTGTTTATTTTTGCTTTATGGTTTGATTTTAGTTTATTTCGGTAAAATTAAAATAAGTTAAAATTGGATAAAGGAGTAAGTTATATATATCTATTCACCACCCTCTAGATTATCTATCCATATTATATTCCATAACCATTCCGCTGCGCACAAACTCAACAAATCAAACCCCACTTGTGGACTTGTTCTAACTTTGCAAGTGGTTGATTCCACGGGCAGAGGGAGCATGTGCTCACGGGGGCACATGCCCCTCCTGAAATTTTTTTCTCCAATATTATTATATGCATTTTGCTTTGAAAGTTAAAAAATGCCGCCCCCCCCTCCCCCCCCCCCCCCCCCCCCAAAAAAAATAATAATAAAAAAACTAATTAAAAAGAAAAGTTAAAGTGAAAACATGTTAGAATTTGCAAGGGCTAAAGGGGAATATAGTGTTTAGTAGTGTGTTATGTGTAGGGCTAGAGTCTAAAGTGGAAGACAATTGTTAGTGGTGTGTTTGAGTGGTGGAAAAAAGAATAGTGAAGTATAATCTGTAGTTGGTACGTGTGCTAATCAAATTCTGAACAAAAACAGTAAGGTTTTGTATAAAATATTCATGCTCTCTCTGCCCTTGTCCTTACTCCATTTTTCAATTTCATTTTTAATTGAAAGGTGAGAATTGAAAGATAGAGATATAAACCAGAATGAATCTTCTATTTTACTGCGCATGTCAATCTATCACCGACTCACCTCCTAATTTGCAGGCCGTAAAACACACTCAATTTTTTTTTATTTATAGAATATGGAGACCCGAGTTTTGTTTTGTTCACATGAATCTACCATCTACCTTAGTAATTTCAATTTAGTTATGTTCTGTTCACAACTTCATATGAATCTATCACACGAATTAGATCAAGAATATTAAACTGCTCCTTAAAAATTTTGTGATTTTGCTAGAATTTTTTGTTTTTATTGTTTACCTTTTGATGTGAAAAAATTTATATATGCCATGTTAGTTGATTTTTTTTATTTCCCTGTCAAATACCTTCTTAAGATACAATCCTGGCTCCGCCCTGGTTGATTCAAAGTTGCAGTTAGTCGTCTTGGTTCATTCATTGGAGTCTTTATTAAGTATGAATGCCTTGTCAGTTATGAAAATGAAATAATGAACCACTACTTGCGAACGAAATAAAAAGGACCAATTTGTTACTTTGTAAAACATTCCTTTTAGAATATTTTCCCCTTATTCCTCTGCTTCTCCATTGCACAAGTACCCTTATAGCATCTTCTCACACACATACTAAAAGCACATGACCAATTTGTTGGCATTGAAAATTTGAAACCTAAAAAATGACTATCATTAGCATCCCATTACTTTGTTCATGTTGGCTTTGAGCTTAGGTTTCTCCACCACCGAGCCATCATTTCCTGCAAGTGCCCGGTATTTATCTTTCCTGGTGAATGTAGTGCACTCATATGAAAGAGTCGCGGCGATGACTCTCTGTATGTAATTTGCTACTTCATGGCTAGCCTTACCAGAGCTGCATGTTAGCTCCTGTGGCAACTTGTTCAAGAATGTTACTTCATATGCAGGACTAGGGTTCATGAAGAAGTAAAATGGATCCATCCCTTTCCACCCCCTTGCAGTTGTCCCGTGAAACATGCTCATCCGGTTCACCATTGCCACCGGCACGAGCTGGTCGGTTAGTTCAGCAAACAGTGCTGAAAACCTTAGAAGAAACGGCTCCCGACAAGTGGTTCCCTCGGGGCATAGGGCTAGGTCACCATCTTCTAATAGCTTCTTTATCATGGATGCGTCCGTGGCTCGGTCGCGGCTTAGACGGACGGTCTTGATCGGCGAGATGATTTCGGAGAGTCTGGAGACGGAGTATGTGACGGCCGGGATGGGGCGGCCGAGGGCGGTGGAGAGAAATATTGGGTCAAGTAGGGTTCTGTGGGAACAAATGAAGAGGACACCTAAGCGGCCGGTCGACTTTTTCACCGGCGGAGGTGGGTTGCCCTTGACGGTGACTCGGACGCCGAGTGCCCAGAAGGCGTGGTAGACGATGGACATGGGGAGGAGTGAGCCGGCGGCAATTCTCAGGCAGGCGAGGAGGAAGCCTATGGGGATCCAGAGGATAATGAGGAGTGCCATGAGGGGTGTCGGCTTTCGGACAAGACGACCGTCGTGGAAGATGATGGGCTTGGGGAGCTTGTCGCTTGTCACGGCCTTAATCTCTGGTTTGCATGGTGGTACAATATAACCCTCCTGCATTTCGAATTCGGATATTCAGATGTAATTAATGGGATTTCTCGACAGCCCATCTCAAGAATTTTCAACTAATTAAACAAATAGTTGGATACATATCCAAATTTTTACAAATTTATATCTAGTAGACCCATTCACATGCAACAATTGCAAAAGTCAAAGCTTAAAGGTAAATTTTTTTTTTTTGGTTGTTTCCATGAATTTGTTAATGGAAAAGACTGTTGACTTAATTAATAACTACAAATTAATTAAATTAATTTTTCTGAACCACTTTCAAAGGTTGTTGAGAAGTTTGCCATTATAAATTAATTATACGTTTGTCCATTAGTACTCTGATCACCTAAACACAATTGTTCATTTAACTATTTTGTCTCTATATAATTACTCTTGAAATAAATTCATGTACCCAACCTTTTTGCATGTGACAATACTTGGAATTGAAAGAAGATTTATTTGTACTTATTTTAGGTTTGACAACTAGAATGAAAAACAAACCTTGCACAAGGTCATGAAGGGAAGATCAGTATGCCGGTCGCCGAGCCCTATCTCCGGCGGAGTCCCTTCGAAAGCCTTCTGAAGAGCATCTGCCTTCTTCTTCCCTACAAGCACTCCAGGTTGACAAACAAACCCTGTAGCCCTACCCTTATAAGTTCCAATCTCAGTCCCCAAAACCAAATCAGCCCCCAAGAAGTCCTTCAAAAATGCCTCCACCATAATCCTTGGATTCGCGGTGAGCACGTAGCGTCTCCCACAAGCCGAGAACACGCGCCACGACTCCGGATGAAGGTCGCTCGAGTAAAATTTGGGCAGCACGGCACGAGCGACGGATTCAATATCGGACACCCTCATTCCAACAAATGTTGCAAAAATTAGAACTTGGATTCCGGCAGACTCCGAGACAAAGTAGTAGAGAAATCCCACAATTGGTGAAGCCAACAGCAAGAAGAAGAGCCTTAGAATCCCTCCTACCTCGAAGGCGACTAGGGCAAAGTAAGGGAACGAACTCCGGCCTCTAAGTAGGGTTCCGTCCAGGTCTGCAACCACCGTGTCCTTTTCCCGGCCAATTGATGCACAAGTTTCAACATTTGGACAAATTGTTATAGCCATGTTGGGTTTGAAAAGATAACCAAATTAGCTCTTTGTATAGAAATGAAGTGAATGACAACTTGCTATAGAAATATGAATTTCTTGGGTTTTATGTATGTTGAGTATTAGAGCATATATATACACGTATAGAGAGATTCATAAAGCATGCCAAAGTGGAAGAGCATGTAAGAGTAGTTGATAAGGGACAAAATGGAGCGGTGGCGCCGAGTTTTCCTAAAGACTTTGGCAGCCACTCGATCCGCCTAGGATTTCCCACTTCTTCTTTGAAAGGAATAATAAGTTAACAACCCATTGTGCTCAATTCTTAGTGTTGAACGCCATTTTTGTTTGTTTTGTGTTCAATGGTTAAAAAATTTCTCTCGTGCATGTCATTGAGCATGCATGAGCTTATAACACCTAATATATACAGTGGACTTAAAAATTAGTACTCTAGAGGTGGGCGACAGACGTGGAATTCTTTAGGATATATCCGTAGGCGATATATGTAGTACTTATCCATCATCATCATCATCATCATTCATTATTTTCAAATTTTGATCATAAATTCCTAATCTATTTCATAAAACTCTTCACACCTTAAAAAGTGATCATATTGCCCCAATATTCATATCCGAGCCATTAATTGGATTGTGAATAACAAATTTGACCTTATTATTATTTAATGTTATATTAAAAACTGAAAATAATTTTAAAAAATTACAAAAGCACCCATTCCTAACCAGTTCACTCCATCTGTACTCTCTCTTCTCTCTATCTGTAACCCAACCCAACCCAACCCAACCCACAATATGCTGATTCAATTGAAGACAAATGGTTTTGGTTTTGAGGCTCTGAGTTCAGTTCGTCAACGAGCGAGAGGGAGAAGGAAGAGATATGCGGTGGTATTGTAGACTTACCAATCATGGAGTCTAGAGAAGACAGAACCAGTCCGATGACTGCCGGTCACGACACAACTGCGAGCAATAAGGTGGCCAAACCTTCAACAACCATTCATGGTTCTTCCTCCATAACCGTAGCCAAACTTCCATGGTGAATAGAATCGTGAGCTCTGAGCAACGGAAAGCTCAATAGAGACCCAACTCCGGTGAAACATTGAACCAATAGCGACCCAAAATAGAGAGCTTCAAGTATCGTTGCCTTGCCAATCACAGAGTCCGGCGAAGACAGAACTAATCCGATGACGGTGGCAGCCACGACAACCGCGAGTATGAAGATGACCAAACCTTCAGCAGCCATTCATAGTTATTCCTCCCTGACTGTAGCCAAACTACCACGGTGAATAAAACTGCGAGCTCCGAGAGGAGCTCTACTACGGAGACCCAACTCCGGTGAAGCACCGAACACATAGTGACCCAAAACAGAGAGCTTCAATGCTCCAGTTCCGGCAGTGACGAGACCCACTTCATGATTCCGACCAAGCTTCTATAAATATAGAGAGAGGGGGGGGGGGGGGGGGGGGGGGGGGGGGGGGGGGGGGGGGGGGGGGTGGGGGGGGGGTGGACAAATCCATGTATTCAATTTCAAGGCCAACATGATTGAAACCAAGCCCTGGACGCCGCCATTTTGCTCTAGGACCCCAAATGATATACGAATTTCTGCCGGTAGCGAACAGAAGGTCTTGCTGTCCCTTACATCATGATGGAGATAGCACACCACCATCTTAGGGTTCTGCACTGTTGGATCTTCAAATCAAGGTTAAATTGAAGAGGGGGATAAGACGGGGTGAATTATTAACCCTTTGTTGTGTCTGTTTGAGAGAGAGAGAGAGACTAAGAGGTGAGAACTTTAGAGAGAGGAAGAGAGGGAATGAAGGGGTTGGGTTGCAGATAGAGAGAGAGTATGGATGGAGAGAAAGTGTTAAATATGGGTGTTTTTGTAATTTTTAAAAATTATTTTTAGTTTTTAATATAACATTAAATAATAGTAAGGTTAAATTTGTCCTTTCACAGCCCAGTTAACAAGGTCAGATAAGAATATTGGGGCAATGTGATCACTTTTTAAAATGTAGGGACTTTAATGAAATACGTTGGGGGTTATGATCAAAATTTGAAAGTAATAGGGGTTTTATGAAATTAGCCCTTCTTATTATTATTATTATTATTATTATTAAATGAGATGCGTATCTCAAATCTGATCAAGCGATAATTAGAAAGACATAAATGTCATCTACTTTAATACATATTATACTTTCTTTATTTTTATGCATTGTTTCTAATAAATCCGCATATTCTAGACTAATACATGGAAGAATGGTAAGTGTGGCCGGAATGCTTTCAACAGGGGATTGTGCTCTATTAGCTTTGATATAAATTGAAACTTTGATTGTAAGAAATTAAAATAAAAAACTGCCCATTAAAGAGGCGGTGACCTAAGAAGCACATATACTTCTACGAGAGCGACGTACCCGTGTTGGATACCAATACGTGTCGAATACTCATGGATACATGCCCAATACTTCTTAAACGTATCCATGCTTTTAAAATATATATTTTATATTTCTAAAACGTATTAGATATTTCTGAGTTATTTTGATTGCTTATTCGATACTTCTCAGATATTTCATAACACTTAGTTAACAAGTTTTAAACATTAAAATGTAACTTTTCTAACAAAAATAATTGTAACGACCCAAACCTGGGGGTCCGGATGGCTAACCGGGTCTTAATCCGACCCGGGAACACCCAAAGGTAAAATGGTCATTTTGACCAATATAGTGTACTAGAAGTCACAATAAAGTCATAATGGTCATTACTAATCAAATTGATTCACTTACGGATGAAAGAATCAATTCCGTCCTCAAATTGGTCCACTTAGGGTTACAAGGGTAAATTGGTCTTTTTGGACCATACGACGCATTGGGGACCTTACAACTATCATCTAGGTCATATCTAGTCATTTTGATTTATTTGTAAATAAAAGAAGACAACTTGGTTCGAGGTTACTTTTTTTAGGGTTAAAAAGGGTAAAAATGTCATTCCGACCATTTCGCTCGTATCCAGATGCAGCCATAGTATTCCATAAATCCTAAAGGCTATGTAGGACCCACATGATAAAGCTCGAAGCCGTCGAAAAAAGTAAAAATAACCAGTACCTAAATTCTAATACGGAGCGCTCTGGACACCTTCGGAGCGCTGAGAGGGTGCCACGAGCACCCCAATGCATGCCCCAAGCACTCGGTGGACATCCTCAGAGGGCTAAGTAGACACCCTTAAGGGGCTTGGAGTATGCCCTGCGAACCCCAGTGTGCGCGCCGAGCACTCGCAGCAGACCAATGAGCGCTTGGTAAAGCCCATATATGGGTTTTACGCCTCTCTTTGTTCGTTATCCCGAACACCCGTTTGGTCATTTTTTACCTCCTTACCCCTGTCCCAACTCACCAGCATGCATAATACAAGATATGAGATCAATACATCAGTATACTACCTTGAATTACATCATTTGATTACATTTCGTTTCAAATCTTTAAAACATGAACATGGCCATTACTTTCATCTTTTACATACTCCAAATGTAGTACAAAAGATTACAACTACAAATTTAGACCCTTACGATCATAAATACAATACTTTACATGAAAATACATCAACTAAGGATTTGTTACAAAATTATCAAAAGATACTCCCGTCAACCCTAATTATACTTGTGAGGGTCCGAACATCTTTGTCATAACCTCAAAAATGTTAAAGAAGGGGGTGAGCACAGAGGCTCAGTAGAAGATGCTTAAGATGCCAACTATGGACTCCCTTGAGCGACACGTCACACACAGGGAAAGTGCCAACGAAGGCCTAGGGGGCAAGTGCGTGGCTTCTCTGAGTTGGCCCGCACTCTATAATATATGTTGTAATTTTTTTATTTTTTTTCCATATATATGAAAAAAATTATACAGTGGTTCCAAAAATTTTCTGGTTCCTAAAATTATCACTTTATTTATGTGACGGCCCTGGTTTTTCAAGCCAGTGCGTCCTGTGATGAACCGTAGTTTGACCCGATAACGGATCCGAAGTGCGGAAGCGAAAACAGAATACAAGACTCTAAGAAGTCAAAGTGACCTTCCATGAGGTCGTGGAACTCAATGAGAACAAATGCGAAAGCAAAAGACCAAAAATATGACAAATAAGCCCCTAGGGGTAAAATAGTTATTTCTGAAAACTATGGACTCTGGTGCCACCGAACACACCGCTGGAAGGACAACGGAAAACTAATCAAGATGGACTCAAGAATTGCATGATTCGGAGTCCGGATGAAGGAGAAATACCATGACAAAGAAAAACGAGCACCTAAAGCAAAAAGGGTAAACTGGTAATTATTCAGGAAGATCTGGGTGCAACCGAGTACACCGTTGGAAGGACAGCAAAAAATTAGTCAACTTAAAAAAAAAGTTCACTCAATTTGGAGTCCAGAAGAGGGAGAAACAAGTGTTTGAAGTTGTGACATCGCGGTGGCCCGACGAAGGCCATGGCGCGCCCGGCGCCCAATGGCATGCACATGTTGACAGCAAGAAAAAAAAAAATTGAGTGTCCAGAACTGAGGCTTGAAACGGAGGTCAAAACGAGTTTTTTTAGAAAAACACGAAAAAAGAAACCCCCAAAATTGAGTTTTCTATCCGATTTCGCGAAAGAAAACAAAAAAAACTCACTATAGAATCCCCAAAATGCCCCTAGATTAGAACTGACAAGAGGGCAAAAAGCTGCTACAGGATCTGAGATCGAAAACGACCTACCAAACAAATTTTTATGGAAAAACACAAAGAAGAAACCCCCCCTCAAAATTGAGTTTTCAACATGGCTTGTGAGTGAATTAAAAAAAAAAACCCACTGTAAAATGCCCAAAATACCCCTCCATGAAATCTGGTCATAAAGGCCAAAAAGCTGCTACAATTGGAAACTAGAAGCTGAAACTTCACGAGGGATTTCCGATACCAAGATGATATTTTCTGGAAAAACACGACGGAAAAACCCCCCCTAAAATCACATTTTGTAAGCGACCAAATAGAAAGAAGA